CATCAGAAATAGACTTCAGAGAAGCGATGGTGACGAGGTGAATACCTGGTTGATAGTGTCGGCCATTGAGTGAATCATCTCGGAAAACATACAGTGGGAACCCGTATACAGCCATGCTGCCATCTTGAACATGAAGTTGGCAAAATTTCTGCACGAAAGAAAGAATTAAAGAAGTAATTATTTGTATTACCACCTCACCCACGTGTGCGTGCGTGCGTGCGTGCGTGCGTGCGTGCGTGCGTATGTGTGTGAGCGTCTGAGTGAGTGATTGAGTGAGTGAGTGAGTACACGAGCGAGTGATTGCATGAGTATGCGAGTGAGTAATTGAGTGAGCGTGCGTGCGTGACTTGAAGAGACATAAATTGAATGCTCACATCGCAGCTGCCATGACTACAACTTTTCCTGTTCCAGTCTGCATCATGGATTCTGGCTTCTACAACAACAGGAACAACACATGAGCAATATTAGATTAATACACTACAGGGAAAACAAACAAAGTGAGACGGAACTGAGACAAAAGCCATATGCTAGTAACGCTGAAGGGGTCGTTGTCGTATCAGGTACTACATATATGTACCCGAGGTACATATATGTATGCACAAAGTGTACCACAGAAGTGTACCCTAACCCTAACCCTAAACATACCTCATATAAAAATATAAACATAATACTAAACAGCATAAAACTACCTCGGGTACATATATGTAGTACCTGATACGACAACGACCGTTTGTGTGTTAGTAACAAGAATTACTAATGATAGCAGGTAGCTAATAAGTGCTGGCACCAACTACTGATATCAAAATACTCATCTATAAAATGCTAAATAGGGATAAGTCACTTTCTACACATGCAATTTATTGTTGTGTAAAAATATTCCTGAGGAACTATGCACACTACCAGAAGATTTGTGGCAAATATGGGGTAGGTACTACTACTAGACTAGTGGTATTATTATCACTATTAGTATTAGTGGTGGTTGGTAAATACTGGTTATAGCTATGTACTGTTGATTAAATACATGTAGCTCAGTAGTGGTTAATTGATTAGTAACAGCTAAGAACCGGTAGCAAAGTATCGAGAGTTAAGTAGATATTAAGTACAGAAAAGGACATTGTAGCAAAACATGGCCGAGGATAACTCACATCTGGCTTTCTGTCATGAGCCTGGAAGAGGAAGGGCATTCCCTTAGCATCCTGGCTGGTGTTTACTAAATGCCTGTATTCTTTCACAGCACGTTTGATCAGGTTCAACTCTGCAGCAACAATAGCCACGCGAAGTGTGAGCAAGTAACCGTGACTCCCTCAAATTCCACAAAGCAAGATTAAATGCTTGAAAAAAGCTAACAAAAACCAGCCCGTCGTACAAAATGGCAACAATAAAAACTAATATCGGAAGGCTTCTAATGGAACAGCCTAAATGATTTTACCATGATCCCAAAAATAAGAAACAGGACCCGTTTTTAGGTTAGGATGAACAGGAGAAAACGTTAGTCATGTTTCAGTTCAGTAATGGTTAATATCTATGCTTGGTAGATCTACTTACGTTGACTAGCATGAGCATAGACATCTCGTCTGCTCCGTAATTGCACAGTAAGATTTTCCAGTGACCCCCACTTCTCTATCGACCTGATAAGCAAATCATCGTCATCAATCGTGATATGATGGCATAATTAAGTTGCTGAAGACAGCCAAATGCATGTACCTCCACAATGAATCTTTTTGTGTTTTTATTCTTGGTACCCCCATATTTTCTTCTTGCCAGACGTGCATAGAAATATGTATATATATATACACACAAATGGTAGACATAACGTTTAACTCACACATTACCTAGTCTGGGAGACACGCGAGTTGTGATTTGATTTCACTGACCACTCACCTGGCCTCTACATCGGAGCGGAGATACACAGTTATTGGCTTATCGTCGTAAGGGCTTCGTCGCATTGTCTTTCTCAACCCCTCCAAGTCACTGCACATGAAGAAACATTGCTTCAAAAACGCAGTACTAGCACAGGACTCAAGAATTCCTTAAACGTTTTACTATTCCTGGCGATTACAACCGGAACCTGGGTTTCCTAACCAATTCCCTATGAGCCATACACATCAGCAGACCACTTGCCTCCCTGCCCTTAGTAGCATCAGTGACCATGCCTCAACATTTTAAATGTTGTCTTTGTAAAATCGCAACTACTAATGGCCTTACGTGCATTCTGAAACACTCAGCAGAAACAAGATTGTTCACGAGTTTAAAATACCAAGATATAATTGAGGTGATTTGACAAATCGTGTCATGTTAAAAGCTCACCATGAATGCGTCGGTTTACATTGACCGGAACAGAAGAAATGGGAGATATAAAAGCAGCATTTTAACCACCAAAACTGAGACTGAACAACAAAATCACAACCGTATCATCATACTTCGTATTTGTTTTAGAAAAAGCTTTCCGACAACATTATTTAAGGTGGCGTAATCACTTCAACCATCTGAGAGCAATCTCTACAATTGCAATCACCTTGTTTGGAGCAAGTATTCAGTCATAGCCCGATACGCGGTCAGCGTATTATTAGCAGTATAGGTTTTCGCATAATCAATCTTTTTTCCGCGCTTTCTGGGAACGACTAGAAGAACAAGAAGGCGCATGTCTGTCAGGAGTTCAGCAAAGCACGCAGGAGTAAGAGTCATGCTCGATTCAAAAAGTGTGCAATGCCCATTATGTGCGAGCGAAGCTCACTATAATTCACACAATTCTCAAAAACGTCAGTCGAAAATATTGCCGACAGTTTTAGTGCATTTACTGTACATCAGATTGTAAATACACAGTAAGGTATTATATGCATTAGAAATCAAATAATATCATGTCACGTGCATTTCTCCTGATGCACAGCAAACAGCATAGATCTCATATTTGAAGTTAGACTTAGAAGACATGAAAGGACTGGGTCCATTGCACACTTGTGGTCTAACTAACATGTACTCGCACTCCTGCCTGCTCCAGTGTGCAAAAGATAGTTATTCACCTTGGTGAAAGCAGGTACTCGACCATTGATCGTACAGGTGTGATAAAATTATTGGCAGTGGACTGTCTGCTGTGGTCTATTTTATGATTGCGATGATGATGAACCTTACTGGACTTCGATGGTATAACTAGAATATCCAAGAGAAACAAACACCTTTTCATTTTCTACGTCGAAGGAATAGCACACCGTGCAAGAGCAATGTAACTGTAACAAAACATTAACTGTAGGATACACACATGTAAGACCCACCTTTGACTATGGTTTCTACATGAACAGGTTCTTTATTGAGTGTTTTTGCTGCATTTGGTGTCGCACTGTCCGATGCAGCTTCTTCGGTCGTGCTTGATAATATCACAGGATCATTCTGAGCTTTGCCCGTTACCTAAAACCAACACGACGTAAAAAACGTCACCTCCGGGGACGGAAACATAACATACAAGCACATAACATAACTTGATTGCACGGAGTTCAGATATATGACATGTTACTGATAATAAAAAACGTTGACATAGTAAATAGCATCGATATGAGATTAGTCCGTCTATTGTGCCATGACTTAACGATGTTCTACCAAAGGCAGCAATAGAGATTTAGCGTCAAACACCCTGCAGTGCCTGCACGTCATATCACCACGTGTTGTTCGCTTAGCTATAATAAACATTTAAGCTTAACACACCTGCTCTTTAGATGTAGGGTCTTTATTATCACTATCTGTGGAAAACCCCCTCGACACTGCTGTTACCAAGAGGAAGCCATAACGATTCTTGTGAAGAATCGTAAAACCATGATGATGCTTGTAAAGATAACTTCTGCTCCACTGGGCGAGGCTTGATTCGTTGTTAACAACCGACAATCGACTTCTGCGGCATCCTATAATAGTGCCAAAACAGATTATTATCTTAAAAAAATTCCCAGGATGGTGCGAATCAAGTACAGGCTCTGTCAACGTGTGAAAAATCAGTGCAAACCATAAATCATCAAGGATCTATGTTATAAACCTTTTGGTAGATTCATAAATCTACCCATCAATTTATTACAAATAGAAATAGTGGTGCAACATTTATGTTAAATATATGCATTAATAAGGTTCTGTGATTCTAATATAATGATTTCTGTTTATCGGACATTCAGGTTTTTAGTGTCAGTGAAAGATTTGGTTGAAGTCGCTTTTATGCGATTTTTCATTCTTATTCGATGGCTAACACCAGGTGCCAGCTTTGTACACTTATTTCTCCATATATAACGATTCATTGTGCATGTGCACTTTCAGTGTTTTGATTGTACATGTGACATGATGTGTATGTCTAGCTCTAAGCTAGGGACGTACGGAGCCCACTGCGACTCTGTTTCCAAAACATTATGGTAGGTCGGTGTCGTTGCCGTGTCTCTTAACATTTACGCGATATGATAAATATTACGTGCAACCTACGCTCATAGGGTCTATGTTCCCCAGGGTACTATCAGAGGGTACCCTGGGTATGGTTCGATATATCAGAAAGTACCTCGGGGTACTATACGATATGTCTCTGCGTACCATGCATTGTCCCACCGTACCCTGACTTTCAGCCAACTGATGTCGTAATACATACACTCTGTCAAGTAATACACCGATTGACAGTTCTGCGCCAGTAGTTTCGCATCTCCGCGAGAGCCCGGATGTGCAAGTAAGCTCCGCCATGTTGTTTATCTCGATGCATTGTCTACCTTACAGTTACATACACAGGTCGCTCACCTTTGTGTCGAAGAACAGTGCACGTAGCAGGGAATAGAGCATCGAAAATGGATGACCTGAGTGACATGACACTTGATACATTTAAATTATGGTCAATTCATGCTCTAAGTCTTTCTTAAGCCAATACGATCCGTTTGAACAGCCCTTCACACTACACGTTTCACACGGGTAAAGAATTTTACTCGCAATTCTGGGACGGAAACTCCTCCCGACCTTTGACCTTAGGCTTAAGCGCAAGCGCAGTGTTAAACTGTCAACGGGTGTATTACCACATCACATAGAAGAAACCTCAAAACATCGCAATCCAACAAAAATGCATGCTATGTTTGACTATATATATATTTTTTTTTTATAATCGAAGAGCTAGCTTTTTTTGTATTTTAGTTTTACAAAATCGGAAATACGTCCATATAAAGTCAGGGTACGGTGGGACAATGCAGGGTACGCAGCGACATATCGTATATCGTATAGTACCCCGAGGTACTTTCAGATATGGCAGTGGCTACGGGTACGGTAGCCGTATCTTAATGTCTCGAGGCTACGGGTACGGGAGTCCATTCGCTTTCATACTTAACGAGACAAAGATGGCGGCGGTGGCGCGAGATTTCGAAATAACGCCTTGGGAAATAAATTCACGATTTGAGAGTTTAGATGAGCTAGAAC